AACGAAACGCACTGAATGCAGATGCGGGCATTGCATTTCGTCACTGAGCCTTCATTGGGGACTTAACCAATTTGATTAACTTCATTATTATCATCCTGCACTCTATACAAAAAACTATGCAATCACCCAAGCGGTATTTATCAACCAATCATTTAAATAAATTACATCATAGTCATCAGTGATGCTGATTGTGAAATGTATTCGTGTGTGCAGAAGAGCTACACGTGTGTTCTGCGGGTCACAGTCGTCCGTTTGACGTTAATGCTGTGACCAACCAATCAGAGGATGGGAAAAATGCTGACGTCATAGTGTGCCAGCTCGCTGGATGAGCTCGAAGCGATTCAGATCGCAAAGAAACAGTCACATTGCTAAAATGGTGAAATGGGCGGATTACATTAATGTGACAGCACATCTGATTGGACAAAAAAAATAAATCAGGTCACGATATGCGCTCGCAGAGAAGAAATAACACCTGTGGAGTTAATCCTGATGCTCGTTGAGCCGAAGTCCGGCGCACGATGGCTGTGGAGGTGTATTTTTATTTTTTCGGCAAACGCGTATGACTACGGAAGACCGCGTAACCAGACGCACTCCAACAAAGCTTCATTAGTCTGCCTTTGACGGCAATCAATCACCCGAATGCCGTACTGTGCCACAATAATCCGATCCTTTCGATCCACTTGCAATCGACACAAGTTAGACTGCGAAACTTTCTTGTTTGTCAACGAAACGCACTGAATGCAGAGGCGGGCATTGCATTTCGTCACTGAGCCTTCAGTGGGGACTTACCCAATTTGATTAACTTCATTACTATCATACTGCACACTATACAAAAAACTATGCAATCACCCGAAGCGGTATTTATCAACCAATCATTTAAATAACTTACATCATAGTCATCAGTGATGCTGATTATGAAATGTATTCGTGTGTGCAGAAAAGCTACACGTGTGTTTTGACGGTCACAGTCGTCCGTTTGACGTTAATGCTGTGACCAACCAATCAGAGGATGGGAAAAATGCTGACGTCATAGTGTGCCAGCTCGCTGGATGAGCTCGAAGCGATTCAGATCGCAAAGAAACAGTCACATTGCTAAAATGGTGAAATGGGCGGATTACATTAATGTGACAGCACATCTGATTGGACAAAAAAAATAAATCAGGTCACGATATGCGCTCGCAGAGAAGAAATAACACCTGTGGAGTTAATCCTGATGCTCGTTGAGCCGAAGTCCGGCGCACGATGGCTGTGGAGGTGTATTTTTATTTTTTCGGCAAACGCGTATGACTACGGAAGACCGCGTAACCAGACGCACTCCAACAAAGCTTCATTAGTCTGCCTTTGACGGCAATCAATCACCCGAATGCCGTACTGTGCCACAATAATCCGATCCTTTCGATCCACTTGCAATCGAGATCTCTTGCGCTCCCATCTGAATGGATGCCATCGCGGTGGAAAGTCAACACCTTGGAAGTTAATGCATCATTAATGTTATGTAATAAAGTCCACCCCACATAACGTGAAGCAGACTGATTTGAGTTAGCATCCCTAATCTATTCATGAATAAGTAAACAGTCGCACAATATTGCCCAGGATGAGGGAAATGCATCTCAACTCTTCTGCGTGAGTTTACACAAAGCAAAAGATTGTGATCATCCTTTGCCTCCACCGTTGCGAGTTCGCAACCAAATCAATGCCCGTTTGTATCGAGCAAAATGCAAATAATTACTTTGGGACAGTTCATTCCCGGTCGCCTAAATTTTGATGAAGCACTTACATCCAAGATCTTGATTGCATTTGTGACGAGCAGTCGCAATTTGTTGCGCTCGTTCTTTATTTTGCCGCTCAGGCGGGATTTGTACTGCAGGTCCAAGTGCCTGATTGCGATGATCGGATTGCGATGATCGGATTGTTCTTGACTTTATATTTCGACATACATTTCAAGCGACCTATCGGTTATGGCGATGTGACCACTGATGGAACCGCGGGAATCGTGTCTTGTTTGGGAAGATGCCAAATGCTGGCATCAAGATTTTTGGAAGAGGCCGGGTTCTGAATCAAAGCGATCCAATTAGTTGCATGTAGTTTTCACATTTCATGTACGAATCGAATTTATGCCATTCGAAAGCATAACATCGGTATTGTGTCACTTGCGCTGTGCAGTGTAAATCCAGCCGGTGTGGATTCGTTGTATGCTGCGAGTCGTGCATTTTCTCAAAGTCTCTTTTTTTTTTCCGTCTCTCTCCGCCCTTCATTTGAGCTTCCGCCTTCCGTGACTTGTCTGTCTTCATTTTTGACTAATGACTTCATTAAACTTATTAGTGCTACTTTGCTGGCGAGGTTAGATATCGAGCATGCCAGTGAGCCAAACTGGGCGGTGACTTTGTTCTCCAGTTTTATCTGCATGAAACAGGGGCGCCTATTTGTGGCACAAGCAAAAGCCAATCCCGCTTTTAGGTCTGCGCCGCAATCCTCCGCCGAGTGGAATTTTATTCAAAATAGCATTTGGATTTGTTTTTTTTTTTGTTTTTTTTCTCCCTTTCAATGCCTTCTGCAGTACCAGCCTGTCACCTGCACAGCAGGCGCCTCTGTTTGCATGAAAAGACATTCTAATTTCAAGCGTCACAGTGTTTTGGCTCAGTGTACTGTGTGTACGTGTGTGTGTGTGTGTGTGTGTGTGTGTGTGTGTGTGTGTGTGTGTGTGTGTGTGTGTGTATTATGCTTGATATTGGCTCCAGTGCGTGCATGTCGGAATTACAACCGTTTGTGTATGCGCCTCACACTTTGAAAGGGGCCAAAAGTAAAAGGACAGTCTGTTCAGTGGTTCCACGGCAAGGCAAATGATGATTTTTAGTGTCCCTCTTGGTGCCTTAAAACGTGCGAGGCACATCTACTGTACATCATTCGCCTTGTTTGGGTGTATATGCTCTCAAATTAAAGCTAATGGTCTATCGTTGAACCACGCCTCATTTCATATATAT